ATGTGTGTATTGCTCAACGAGTTAGTTATATTTATTTAAATATTTAGGTGAATATTCGTAGATGAAAATGCTCACGAGGATGTGATTATGCTTCAGATTGCTATCTACAACGAACTAATTGTTAGATTTGAAAAGTAAATATTTTGCCAAAATTCATTCACATCATCAAACAACTGCGCTTTTTTCCCTCTTCCTATTAATAATATTACAGTCATTAATAATCATTACATTTATTATTATTGTTGTTCTGATTGGTACTATTATTCCTACTATTATTACTGTCATTTGCATTATTGTTATTAAACGATCCCCAATACACAGAGAGGTTCCGCTAGTTGAATAAAAATTTTTTTGTGATTCGATAAGAGGTGAACTCCTCCTAGGATGCGAAATTATGACTGATGAATGTTCATTTGAACACCGATAAAATCAATTAATTAATAAACTGAATAATGCATTATTATGCACTGCTGATATAGGCGTATTTAGTGTTTTGCATTTATTGGTTAGGAACGGAAATGGAACGAACGGTTTTTGATTCGTTATTGAGGCGAGTTTTTTGCAATCGTTCATGCTTGCTCAACCCTATCATCCATATCATATGCTGATAAGTTATAATTCATAGCGACTGCACAATATCATAAATAACTGATGCAATTCATTGGAAACCATCTGATTGCGAAGAGTGAGCAGCAAAAACTGAATTCTAATGTAATGCTATCGAAAAACAAATCATCTGAATGAACTTCGTCTTCAATCACGCAAACACTCTTCATAATGATTAGAATCATATCAGTGATAGGGATGATAATTTGAAAAATGTTTAATACAATTCAAGCGAATCACATGATTCAATTTATTCAGTGCAAACAACAAAGGAATTCTGCAGACAACAAAAGTTATTTGGTGAAAAAAAAATGGAAGTCGCAACAAGGAACTAACTGCAAACGAGCACATGCGTGAAAAAGTGCATGAACTGTTTTGAAGTGCATTCCTCATCAATCAAATTCCTCTCTAATATGTCACATATTATCAATTCTGAATGCTGGATTCCTGATTCATTGCACAGTTCGTTCACTGACTATTTCAAAAAAAAAACATTATTTCTGATTATTTTCCAAACATAGAGCGTTTCAGTTTTTCAGCTGGAAATTGGTAAAGAAGATAGTCCTCTCAAGATATCTTCACCACATCACGAAAGAAACAAGGAACTTAAATAAGATTCTCAAAATCCGCCAAAACATCCTCAACTTGACAATACGACATTTTATTGCGATCTATTCCTATGCTCACTCAATATCATGATTATTATTGTTGCGCTGTGGTATTTCATCTTTACATATGATTTCTGAAATATTTTTAGTCACAAAAATTAGCACAGTTCAATATTTTCCGAAAGTTATTCCTAACAAATGAACAACGGAATTTTGAACTTAATCACTGTAGTGTTCCAGTCGTAAGTCTTAAGACTTAAGCGTAAAAAACATAAAGTTCAGCATCTAAAGTTAGTCGGTTGGTCCCTCGATTGCACCTCGAACATTTTATCAAATATGAAACCTTTCTTTAAAATCATACCCTTCCTCTTCTCATCACGTCTTAATTGTTATTTATATTCACAACAATAAATCAGAGGTAAGCAAATAATGGCATTTCTCTACTGCTTCGAACACATCTCATGAAATTAGTTTCCATGCGATAATATTAATCTTCTTAATAATAATGATTACAGTTGCGACAATCATTGTTAAAATGGTAACCATAGTCATAAAAACAGTAATAATAACTTTTCGGAGGCAGAAATGAAATTTATGAAGAATTAACTGATTATGTGTCCAGATAAATTGTACTTTATGCATCTTAAAATGACATTAAATTCATATTGTTAGATGACAACTACGCATATGCATAAAATCATATCTGTGCGCTATTGTAAGGTTGAATCAGGTCGTTAAATTAATGTCTTCAAGTCGTCCATTGAACAAACACTAAAGAACCGGAATGAGTGACAAAAATGATCGTTACTGATGATAAGTTGAGTAGCAAAAAAATGGATTTGAAACGTTTTATGCTTGTTTGTCTTCACACATATTACTATGGATGGTTGATTTGTGTTTTGATACTACTCTAAAAAACGTGGAATCTCAAATCATAACTTTTTGAATGCTTCTTCGGACGCCGACATTTTGAAATTTTTTGAATTTTGATCTCCGATCTTATCAACTCTACACGATGCAAATCGAAAATTTGAAAATGCTTCCGATATCGTTATGAAGAAACACTCAAATGTGAACGCTGTTTGTGAAGAGATTCTATCCAATTATATGCCTTGCTATGAATGGATAATGCTTCTTAACTCATGTGTCTCTTGATGATTAGACTTAGTATGCATGAAAACTTTTGTAATCCCACAATCATCAATTTTTCGACAGCACAAATTGAGATATCTCTGCGTACTCACTATCAGAGTCAAATCAGTTTACAGACCCTGATACCTTCCTCCTTCCAGAAACTAATATGAAATCGTCGAAATATGAGTCACGAGAATGGAGGATCGAGCGAGGAAGAGCAGTGAATAGCACGATGGATTAAGGATATCATCGAGAATAACGATGAGATCGAATGAGATAATTAATGAGCGGCTTAATAATGATATCAGATGATAACGGTTGATAGGCGATGTGCGCTCGAATCGATGATAAATAGCTGATAAAGCAGAACAGTTGCAAATCTGTTGACTATACATAAATCTTGTATCAACAAATAAATATTTTATACGTCCATCAACAATTCATATTCAGTTTATGATACGGCTGCACATTGCACAT